TAATGTAATTTTCGCATTTCCCAACAGTGCTAACGAAAAAAAATCGCCACCCCTACTGACAGAAAGAGTGGGTACGTACAGTTGGTGGTCACTGTGCCTGTGGAAGTGCAAGCTGTGGTTGTGTGTGTGTATCGGGCGAGCAGTTATATACATATATACTTAGGAACATGTATTTGCCACTATATAAGCTTTCAGAGTGCGCCAGTGCATCTGCGAGTGTATATCTGTATCTGTATCTGAACATGCATCTGTATCTGAGAACCCTTTAAAACGCCGCGGTGCGCATGACATAAGAAATAAGAAAACGGCGCACGAGTTGGTAAGTTATGAAAGTCCCCACATGCCCGACATGCACTAACATCTGTTGCATATAGCCGATGATATATGTAGATACATATATGCTTTGTTAGGTATATATATTTACCTGAAATTATGGCACCTACGAGCGATTCTAGCGATACATCTGCTGCTGCGACCGTTACAAAGTGCCCAGGTATGCAAGAGTTGCAGTCAAGGCATTTAATTTAATTAAACAATTAAACAAACATGGCGGACTATGTTCTCTCTCGGTTTCAGAAAGCACACACATATGAAGACTTGCGCCCCCAAACAAATTCAATTAAGAAATTAAAATCGAAATGCCAGCAATGTTTGTGGTACTAGAAAGAGAAAGAACTAGACCAGAAGAAAGAGATGCAATCAGACCTTATAGAGGGGGTGTGTGAGTGTGTGTGGGTTGGGCGGGAGATTTTGGGGGCTGGCTTAGCCGGTGGAGAATTGCAGCACACGCACATTTGTCAATCGAAATCGCATGACCATGCTTCGTGTACATAGGTATTAGCAGGTCCCACCTACACACGTCATATGTATAGATGGCAGCAAATATCCGTGTACTTGGGAGGGCCAGGCCAGTAAGCCAAGTAATTATTGTTTTTCCCTCTATCACTACTCTTTGTTGCTACGAACATTTTGTGTTGCAAGCGGCAGTTAGTCAATAAATGCGCTAATTATATACAATTCGTTGCCCAGGCCCGGAATACGAACCGAAAAGCCCAGACCGAGCAGATACAAAGCGAACTAAGTGCACATACAGTGGGCACTCTGAAACAAGCAATACTTCTAGGTAGAGAACAAAAACCAAGATCTATAAGAATGTCAATGATAAATAGGAACTATTATTTCTTTTCAATAAATGTTCCCCAATATCCTTTTGAAAGTAGCCACACACTTTGGTTTTACCAATAACTGAACTAGTTGGGAATTATAAGGAGCAGCTAAGCCAGTAATACAGAATTTATTATTTTTAAAGTTATTTAACTTATTTGAAATGATCTCTATCCTATCATCAGTAATTCTGTGTTAACCAAATGCGAGAACTGGTTGGGAATTATAAAGAAAGAAAAAACAAAAATCCAACCCGTATTCTAATCTTTATCTCAATATCTGAACTCTTTGGTATATTTAGGAATCCTAGATAAGGACACTATATCTCAAAGGAACTTATGGCTAAGGTAGAGTAAACCTTCTTCCTTATCGAGTGATCACTGTACAGGGGCGATGGCAGTAAACAAGGCGCGTCAGGGCAGACTGCACAACTTAAACTGCAAGTACATGCCAAAGAAGGGAACGAGGGGGTGGTGGGGGGTAGGTCAGAGGGAGACGGCGATAGAGAGAGCGAGTGAGAAAGCGAAAGGGGATCAGATGAGGAACGCCTGCATATGTGTGTGTTACTGCGAGAAAGCTGCTTACTTGCACTTACACCACCACCACCTTATTTGGCGCTCTCTCCCCGCTTTATTACATAACATCCTTGAACTTGAGCTGAGCTTGCCAGAGTTTCCTTTTTAAATGCTATATATGTGGGTATATTCGTGAATGTTCTATTCTGGCAGTGGGACGCTCAGCTCCTTTCACCACACAGATACATCGTATATCCCATACATATGCAGCTTTCTTCCCCTTATGGGCCCCATTCTTCCCTTTTCTCCCACACTGGCTCGATTTCGTTTCTTCTCTCTTCGCATCGGAAGCTTTCGGGCTTTTTAGCTGCGACTACGACGACGGCTCTGCCATTTTCTGCTGGGCTGCGCGTTGGCATTGAAAGTGCGGCAGGCGAGCTGCCAACAACGCTCCATTCCCAGCAAATCCCCAATCGGAACCAGAAGAATTCTAAACACAAACAACAAGTACTACATATTATACCCCTAAAAAGCCAGCAAACAATCCCTCTATTATTCGTTATTAATTAGAAACGCAAATGACATCAACAGCGAAATTGAATTTGCCAAAAAACCAACCCACTCACAATGCGAAAGCGAATAACAATGCAATAATTGCAAATTAATTGTGTTCAATTCAACGCGAAGTGCTTGTCAAATTAAAAAAAATGGTAAATATGACCCAAAATAAAAGATATATTTTTCAAAATGCATTCTACTGTGTGCTGCGAGAATCACGGAAATAAAAAACGAAAGATAGAGAGCGGAATGGACTTCAGAGAATGCAAGTGCATTTCACAACTGTTTTAAATACGTGCCCCCAAACAAGTGAGTTCTTACATAAAGAAACAACAATGCAAAAACCAATTTGAAAAAAGTCTGTGAAAATTAAAATTGAAAACTCTAAACAAATTTCAAAGGGAGAGAAATACAAAGTGAGCTGTAGTCCTAAAAGGTGAGTAATATTTAACAAACTAAAACGATTCTTCGGGGGTGCGCATTCAGTTCAAATTTCTTATGTGCATCAATACAAATTGCACAAGTTTTAGCGCTGAAATGATTTCTGTTGCACCCCTGAATTTGCGAATTTCGTCAGCCAAACCTTAGAGATCTGCACTAAAACTAGGGTTTTAGGAAAACTTGTTCACCCTTTCTAAAGAATATTATACATTTATCTGAATATATTAAGTAGATACTTCATTTTTATATCAATACCTAAATTATTCAAGTCGAAATCCAATTTAAAATGTCAATGTATGCATATTCGCATTCCTTGCTGGAGCTTCCAAAGCTCTGTGAAGCTTTTCCTAAGGATCAAGGGATGAGGATCTCGAACCCCCGAACCCTTGAAAGTGTTTTTCAACGTTTTGTTTTGTTTTGCTTCGGCTAGAAAAGCGTCGCAATAAAAACAGGAATCCGCAAAAAGCAAAAGTGAGTTGCAAACACAGATAAAAAGTGCGCAGATACAGATACATTTTAGGGATGGCCTGGGAAAGGGGAGGGAGAATAATGAATGAAAGAATGGTAGAGTGCAGAGAGAGCGAGCGCGGAGAGAGCCTAGCCAGTTTGAAGGCCATTGCGAAGAGAGTCACATGTGCTTTTCGGGTTTTCGAGAGGTGTGTGGGGCAGTAGGGCAAAGAAGAAGACTGCCCAAGAGCAGGCCCAAGAAACAGGAACAGGAAGAATCGAAAAACTTGACGAAAGAGAGCGTCGAAGAGAGAGTGTTCTCTGGCAGATAGAAACTCTGCCGGCGTCGACGACGGCAGCGGCAGAGGCGAGAACTTTCCATGGCTGACAAAAAAAAAAGCGGCGACATTAAACAGCGGCACCTTCAACCGATCACATTTGCCTTTGAACCAAGCCATTGAATAATTCATTAAATAATAAATACAAAAATATACCTTTGCAAAATCACAACAAATTTCGTTAAAGGATTAAGTGCTTTTCTTTGGAAATCTTTCCTGTTGGAAAATTACGCTTTATTATCCCGGAAAACCAATCAAAGTGCATGTTAGAGAACAAAAAACGTATCGGCAAACACACAGACAAAAAAGAAATGTGGCAGAAAACAACAGAATGTGAGTAAACTGAATTGCGTCGTAGTTAACATTTTTTTGACGGCGTCATCAAAGGCAATCTGCCACCCCCGCCAACCGTCCTTTCACCCACCGACGTTGTGATTGCGGAAAATACAGTCAACAATTGCTAAAAGCTAAGTTTTACAAACAGAGGCGCGACGGAAAGGGGCTAAAGTGCTTTTAATGGTTAAACCCCTCTTTAGCGTTCATCTTGTTTTAAATCAAAATTTTAAAATTTTAACTTTGCTAACTTTTTTTTCTTTAAAATAAAAAAAACCCCTTAAGATCTTACATCCCCCGTGTAAAATCCCACTTACGCCCCTGTTTGCAAAAACACGCTCTCTCTCTTTCGCACGCACACCGTGGCACTCAATATGTTTTGGCCATCTCTCTCCCAATCATTTGTTTTCCCTGCCCGGAATTTGCAGAAAAATCAAAACTTATTTATAACATAAACAACACAAATTAAGCCAACCAAAGAAAAAATACATAATCGCGAAAAAAAGCCACAACAGCAGCGAAAATAAACAAAACAAATGCGAAAAAGCTTATAAACAGTTCCGTTTATATATGGATGTGTGTAGAACCGAACGAAACCCATTCGGAATTTGGCCAAAGGGAATTATGATTCTCAGGAACTTTGCGCTAAATTATTATGGCTATATCTGTGTGTTGCCATTTTGTTTGTCAGCCTCCCAACTTGTTTATGACTTCACTCGCCACCAACAATTAGAAACTCATTTGCTGGCAATTGTCGCTAATGGAGAGTGCGAACCGAGAAGATTTGCTCTTAATATAAACAAATGAGAATATTTTAAGGGATTTCAGAAACAAAACTCTTGGAAATATTTGAAAGGGTTCCGAAGATAGTATCTTTTTAAGTTCAGGGAAATTCATATAAGACCATTGTTAGTACTTAAGACATTGTAGGTTTATAAGTATTTCTAAAACTGTTGCATTTCTTGAATTCCTTTGCATTGCAATACAATTATTTATAAAACAGTTCGAAGCAATAGATTGCACTTGCAAACATTAAAAAAATCAGTATAAATATGCATATCAAGGTTAGGCAACTACATTTTATACCCGTCTTTGCTCTATGAAATAGGTCAAAAGATCATCAATAGATTCCTTTATTAACATCTAAAATGAATATATCAATCTAATGGGCCATAAAAACTGTGTTTATTACTAAACCGCTTACAGAATTACTGAGCGTTCGGATAAGTCTTTAGTTTTACGACCAGCCAGTCAGCCTGTTGATTTCCGATTGCATCACGTGTCATCAGCAGATCAGCGCTTCTATATTCTATATGCATCCCCAACCAATGCACAGATGTTGTACCTATATGTGTGACTCAGATTATCTACTGACACACGATCGGCCGAGTGCGGTAAACAATTCTGTGAAATTGTAAACTGACGTTCGCCCAGAAAGGCAGCACTCAAAATACAGCTATGCGATGCAGTCAATCAAGATCCAAGTGCAATTTCTCCGCCCCTCGGTGGAAAACCACAGCAAAACCAACCTACACAATGCGATATTTTTGTGTTTTCTATCTGAACTTGACTCGGGTTTAGCTTTGCGTGCCGCTTTTGCTTGCACAAGATACAGATACGGGCTCATCGATGTGTGCATCTGCATACATACGTGTGGGTAAATGGGATTTCGAAATTCGTTTACGTAACTCTCGCCCCATCTCCGCACGGCCCACACTCATTTCGGAATTACGGAAGCCAGGTTGGGGCTGGGCAGGAAAAGGCATCTTCACGGCTACACAGAAAGTAAATCTATTAGAAAATGGCCTGTGAATCGATGTTATGACATATATGGGATAATAATATTGAAGTTATAAAAATTATAATAATTTTAGAAGGGTTCTTTCAGTGTATTATATTTTCATCAACAAGTTCAAGTAAATTTACATATCTAAATGTTTTACCTGTAATAATACTTTGCTATTATATCTAAAAATGTTTGATTAGGATTCAAATTGAAGGAATACTTTTAAGTTATAAGCATTTTCAGTGGACTTTATAAAGGGCAAATATTATTGTTTTCGATCACATGGCGTATGCGTAATTTTAGTAAAATTTGTCAGGTTCCTAAAAGAATAAACCGTTTGGTAAAATATATTTGCTCACTTCAATTAAATATTAATAAGCTTGAGTTTAGCAATCGTCAACAGTTTTCAATACGTGGTTATTAAACTAGAAAATGAAGTTTAAGTTAAAAATCAGCCTAGTAAAGAACTATTTTGTTATAAAAACGACCCACTTTTTAAGATAAATCCCATTCCGGAATCATCTTTATTCCGGGAATAGCCTTTATTTATGGGGTTTTCTTGCGGTGCACCCTTTTAATTGGCTCGTGGCGTCATTTGGAACCCAGAATTTGAGAGTGTATGGATGGCATTTGGGGATGTTGATAGAAGAGCTCGTGTTTTTGGGGGGGCGGTACCGAAACGGACAGTCCAAATAGGGTTAGAGGAAGATGACTCGGCCCAGGTGTTCGCCATATTACGTATGCATCGCGTAAGCTGCAGTTCAAAATGGGCAACGGAAAAAGAGAGAGGGGAAGAGAGGCAAGAGAGAGCGGCACACAAAAGCTCTGCCGACGTCGGCAGAGGCGTCAGCATCGCGTGCTTACCGTTCGTTCAGTGTGTCGCTCTCTCTTCTCTCTGCCCCTGTGTGTGTGTGTGCGTGTATGTGTTTCAAGTTCAAGGTTAAGATACTAGTTGTACATACAGCACTTGGGCCGCGAGTGCGAGCGAGCTGGCAACACGTAGTTGCCATAGAGCTGTGCTGTACCCATGTGCATTGGTGTTTGTGTATGTGTGGCAAACCAGTTTGGCACGTTTCCGTGCGAGAAAGAGACGCCTACACGTGCGGCGGCAAACAAAGAGGAAGCAAAAACAGCACAAAAGGCAAAAAAGCAGAAGCACCAAACACATCGAAAGCAGAGGCGAAGAGCATAAAGAGTAAGCCAAAAAGTGGCGGCGGCAAACATTCACTGGCAAAGGAACAAAATGCCAGCAAACATCGTTCGCTCTCTGTCGCACGCGCACAGTGAAGGCACAGCTACACAGAGAGAATATTAAGTATATACAACTTAAAAATTAAAGGATGCAATTTACCATTTAAATCAGATTTAAATGTAGACAATTTGCCAGTGGTATTATGAAGTCATCTTTAAAATAATAGGGGTGAAATAAAATATTATTTGATACTTAGTTAGTAAATTAGGAAAACCAATTCAAATATCTCTGTGATTATTTTGATAAGGTTTTTTTTAGTGTAGCTGATAAATTTTTGCCCCTCGCTTGCGACACTTATTCGCACTTATTATTGCTCTATGCGTTTTGCCTCTCAGTTTTATTATCTTTCACTCACACACACAAGCAAGCAATACACCCGTGGAGCTTTAATTGAATTGATGTTGACGATTACGCTGAGTGGCGACTGCAATCACCCCCCACTTCGCCCCAACCACCCCCTTTCGACCTGTCTGACTACCTGCCAAAGCAAAACGAGAATTCTGTTGGCCATTTAATTAATCGCCAGCGTGTTCTTACTTAATGGACTCGTAGCTCAACAGTAAACACAGCAAAAAGCTGGAACATCGATCCCCCAAACCCCGAAATTGATTCCATACACAGAGCGAAAAGTTTCACTTTCCTGGGGGAGTTTTTAACTGGCCTTAACGTAAACCATAATTAAAAAAGTATCTATATTTTCTAACAATATCTATCTATAAATATCTTATCTTAAGTAATTAACTGGCCTTAACGTGAATCATGCTCAAAAAAGGATCCTTATTTTCTATCAATATCTAAAGCTAAGTGTTGGTACTTACCAAGCACAGAAAAATTAATGTAGACTAAAGTATGTTGAAGAATTTGTGTTAATATCCCAATCTATAAATAATTATGACTACCCCCTGGCACATAAATAGCATATTAAACTAAATTCCATTTTGCATATCTGCGAGTTCGTTGCACCAGCAGTGGAAAAGTGCAATATGCAGTGTGCATTGCACTCGGGAAGACCTTGAGTGGGCGGTCATTAAGGCGGGCATAATAAAGCGAACTTTGAAAATAACATTATATTTCCCGACTATTTATGCACTAGGGTGAATCACTCTGAAAGGCAGGGGCATCGAATGCTTTAGGTTTGGCCCATTAGTTAGGCTACACCCAAACAAATAAATAGAATATGGTGGAGTATCTATACGAAAATCCATTTTTTATTGCAATTCTCTATGGTATAATTAGAACTATACCTCTTATGGTTAATTGTGCAAGTTATCAGCACTAAAATCGAATTAGATTCAAAACAAAACTCCCAGCGATTGTAATAGGTAGATCGATTTTAATAGGTGTTATACCAAAGACTATAAAGTAACTATACCTAGTCTACATTATCCTTGGTTATACCATATTAAGTGTATGGAATAGGTACCATTTTAGAAAATTCCATAGGTTAATTATTTAAAAGGATATTCTATTTATACCAACCTTTTTTTTTTAAATTCAATGAAATATTTATAGTGACTCTCACAAAAGTCAATAGTTGGTTATGTTTAACCGACCAAGCTTTTGCCTGTCCTTAGTAAACTCATTAAATAATAAACCCAATGGAAATCCCTATAATCTCAGATAATTTCCCAGTGTGGTATGTCCAAATTCCTCTGAAAATTGCGCGCTCATAAAATCTGCAAACGAATGGCAGATCGAAATGTTTGTTTATAGACGAACCATTGGCCAGCGCCTTTCAAATGTGTATGCTGCGGAATCGATAATCTTAGCCTGCATTTTATCGATGGTCTTCTAAACAAAAAAATCTCTTTGTTTGTTTATTTTTAGGGTGGCGAGCTGCGTCAGCATGGAAATTTAATTAGCGACAGTTCAGTTCAGCTGAGCAGCGTTAAGACGCGGGGACTGCCACGCCCCCAGCAACCAACAACCGCCCAACACCCACTCGCCCACCCCAAAAAAGGGGGAGGGGGAGAAAGAAGAAGAGGATTGCGATTTCGTTGATTTTTGCATGACGACAGCAAAAAGCGAAAAGGCGGAACAACAATCGAAATGCAACTGCATGGGTGTGTGGGTGTGCGAGCGAGGCAGCCTATGCAAAGCAGGCATGCGCTCTCTCTCCTCTCAGCGCAGCGACTTGAACTTGAAAACTTTTTACTGCCGGCAAAACGGGAGAGCCAGTGCCAGAGAGCCAAAGAGAGGTATGTACATATGTGTGTTGTTTTTGCCATTGATTAAGTTAAACAAAAACCAAATCAGAGCAGAGCGCAAGCTTCGCTCTCGCAGCTTTTGTTTTTGCGAGAGAGCGCAGCTTTTGCGTGGGCGGCTTAAGGCAGCGCAGTCGACGTCAAGCGTCGCTGTCGACGTCGCCCAACTGTTTGCTGTTTTGTTGTAGGCACATACTGTTGCATACTTAGGGGGATAGGATGGGAAGTGGAAGTGAAAATCGAATGAAAAGCAGGCTGGAAGAGCGGGAAAGCGGGCGAAGTGGGAGGCAGTGGAAGGCGGGCGCGACCTCCACCTGTGCGAGCCCAGCTGCAGCTTCCCTGCTGGCCAAGTTTATTCGGTGACGAGCGGGCGGCCGATGAGGTCAGCATCACGCATACGCCTAGTTATCCCCCGTACTTGCTGTATCTGTGTGCCTTTGTGTCCCTGTGTCTCTGTGTGTGTGTGCGTTTGCGGTTCGTTCCAAGTTCATTTTAAAGGCGCGTCGCCCTAATGGCAAAATCAGGTGTGGAGAATTGATTAGCACAGCCCGAAAATAGGAAAGAGAACAAAAAAAACCCAAACAATATGGTGTGTGTGTAATGTGTGTACTTACATAAAACCCAACTCAACTGACGCACGCCAGCATATGGCAATTAAATTTGAATAATTAAGCAGCTAAAAACGACACGAACCGAACTCTCTTCCAAATACACACACATACAGACTCAGGCACACCAACTGGCATATTTGCCATATGCAACACTCGTTGTTGTTGTTGTTGTTATCTTGCACCTTGACCTTTCCACACCCAGGCAGCAGTACGCGTGGGCAGTGCTCGGATACACACGCCCCTTTCCGGGGCACGGGGCGTAGATACATAGATACATTCGCTTATATAGAGCAACCCACAAGTCGGCTGGCAGCTGTTGGAGCCGAGATGCAGGCCAAAAACACTTCGGTTAGCCCACACAAAAGAGGTCCAGTTGGTCCAGCGAAAAGTCACAGATGGCCTAGGTGCAATAAATTGCAGTTTAAATGTCAGGAAAAGTGCTGGAAATAACACAGTTCAATAGGTGCAAACGGGTGTTGTTAGTTATAATTATTAAAAAAGTATAATTAACTACAGGAAAAATAAAGTTGATACAGTGGATATACATTTAAAGCTGCCCTACTGCTCTAAGTGTCATAGGAAAAGATAATAATTAATAAATATATAATTAAAGTTCCATTTCCAATATTCCTTCATTACAAGGAATTAAGTTTTGTTCAAAAATAAAATGAAAATTAAAGGTATTATTAAAATTTAAATGTGAAAGTAGAGTGGTTCAA